GAGAACGCGTTTAAACTTGTCCCACCAATTTTAAGATGTCGGTCTCACTTTTATTTACACCTCAAGTTGCTTAAATAATCTTGTTTAAAACTATTTTTTTCAACAATCCCCACATGAATGAAAATTTGATGTATGATAATTCAGACACTGGTTCAAGTACAAGTGAAAGGTTACTACATCTGGAAAAGTAGCCAGTGGCCTTGAACTTTTTGTAGTGACAAATTATTGGATTTACTTGTTTAATCAGTTGAGTCATTTGTCTAAACCAGGACAGTAGAATTCACACAGTTTTCCTTTGGACATAGTTGATTCTCACGTTTGTGTTCATTTTAGCCTTGAACATCACTTGGTTTCATGAGTAATTTTAGAGCAATCAACCTACGAATCTCATAGAAGTGAACCTTTCTTTACTCACATAGGTGATTTATGATTAAGAGTATCCCGTTATACTCCACTTGGACATTTTCAAGTCACATGATATCATTAAAAGCGTAACTTACCCTAGTTCTCGCGGTAGATGTGCACTGTCTAATCATAGGAATGGGAAGGAGTTTAAAAAATCTCCTCAGTGTGTATTGTGCGTACTAAGTTACACATAATTTGGTTGTCCTTTTGAACTTAGATTTTGGGATCTTCAGTCAGCTAAGTTGGGTTTCCATTATGGTGACTCTTGGTTAAGTAATAGACTTTAAGCCCATTCCGCTTGATGAACTTTTCACTTGTTCTCTAGTCAAACCTTTTGTAAGCGGATCTATAATATTATTCTTTGGCTTTACATAGTCAATGGATATAACACCATTAGAGAGCAATTGTTTAACGGTATTGCGTCAATGAAGTATGTGTCTAAACTTATCGTTATACATATAATTCTGTGTCTTTCTAATCATAGATTGATTGTCACAATGAATGCATATTGCAGACACAGATTTTGGCCAATTTGGAATATCCATTAAGAAATTACGAAGTCATTCTGCTTCTTCTCCAGCTTTATCTAAGCTAATGAACTCAAAATCCATTGCAGATCTAGCAATACAAGTTTGCTTTGAGGATTTTCAAGACACGGCTGCACTACCCAAGGAAAAGACATATCCACTCATGAATTTTGCATCTTTAGTATCGTATATCCAGTTAGCATCAATATATCCCTCAAGTACTATTGGGTACTTCATGCACTACAAACCATAATTTTGAGTATGTTTTACGTATCCCAAAACTCTAATATTGCTTTCCAGTGGTCTTTTTCGGGATTACTTGTATATCGACTTAGCTTATTCCTTGAATATGCTATATCCAGGCGGGTAAAATTCGTTATGTGCATTAAACTACCAATTATACGTGCATATTCTAGTTGTGATATGCTATTACCCTTTTTCTTAGAAAGATGAATATTAACGTCGACATGTGTTCTCATAGGCTTTATCTCATATTTATTGAACTTATCAAGTACATTATCAATATAATGAGATTGAAATAACATGAGTCCATATGTTATTCTAGTAATTTTAATTTCTAATATAACATTAGAAATACCTAGATCTTTCATTTCAAACCTATTTGTTAACACCCGTTAAGACATAATTACGTATTCACTACGAGTGCTCTTGACATATACACATTTGTTACACTTATTTATTTTGAACCCATTTGACAACATTGTTTTGTCAAATTTTTTATGTCACTGCTTTGATGCCTATTTTAAACTATACAGAAATTTAACAAGCTTACATACTTTTTTTTTTTCCATTAACAATGAACACCTCAGATTTTTTCATGTATATTTCTTCATCTAGTTCACCATTTAAAAATGCTATCTTTACATCCACTTGATGTATTTCAAGATTATTCAATGCAGGTATAGCAATTAAGCAATTAACATCCGTAGGGTAATAATTATAGTAACTGGTGAATAAGTGTCAAAATAATTCAATCCTTCCATTTGTTTATATCATTTGGTTACAAGTCTAGTTTTGTATTTGTCAATGAATCAATGGGCTTTCATCTTCTTTTTAAAGATCCATTTATTGCCTAAAGGTTGTTACCTGGATCCACCAATTCCCATGTATGATTCCTCATAATGGAATCGATTTCAAAATCGACAACTTCTGTAAACCCCCACATGTTTATAGTAATATAATGATAAAATTGTTTAGTAATTTAAGGTATGTGATGACATAGGAATTAACCATATAGGTTATAACCGTAGAAAATGTTAATAGTGTAAAAATCGGGTAAGTATATGAAATTGTTTGTAATAGGACTTGTACCAACTATGTTTGATGTCCAAAAGTATGTTGTATAAGTTTGGGTTGGTTTTGGAAGGGTTGAGAATGGATTGAAAATGAAAAACAGAGGAAACATGCAAAATCGAAAAAACCATACCGGTACAACCGAAAGTTACCATACCGGTACAGCCGAAAGTTACCATACTGGTACAGTGAGCAATACGTATCGGTACACAGTACCGGTACACTCGGTAAAATTCAAAAATTTTAAGTCGCGATCTGTGGTTCATTTTTCGCCCTATAAATACTTAAAGACACCTCCTTTTGCTCCATTTCAACATTTCTAACCCTAGGAAACTTTAGAGAGGAAGAAAGAAGGGAAAACACAAGAGATTCAAGTGGGAAAGATCAAAACTTCTACCTTTCTTCCCAAATTACAAAAATAAGGTAGGGGTTCCTTCCATTTTTGACCATTGAAGCTAGGGCTTATATGTATACTTTTTTTGACTCTAAAGCTTATATATATGCATTGAAAACCTTGATTCTTGATATTCTATCCAAAATTACCATGTTTTAAACAAAGTTAGGGTTAGATAACCATGAAATCTCTTTTCTTGGTATAAAATCCTAGTTTTCAAAAGAAATGAGTTTTTCTCTTAATTCTTCCTTTGTTCTTAATTTAAAAACTCTAGTGCTTTATATTGAACAATAGAATGGTATTGTTGAGGATCTCTTGCTTATTTTCTTCAATTTTTTTATTGTAATACTACAAGAAAATTTGGGGATTTTGGAATTGGATTGTTATGTGAGAAAATTGTTGTTGGATTGTATCTCTTGAGGATGTGAGGATGACCAAGAATGGTCGCTGACCGGGTATCGTAGAGTGGATAGATGCGTTTCTTACTTCGTGTGGGTTTGAATTTTCCTACCAGTGGGGTTGGTGCCTTGTGAGGACCAATCCACTATTCGCTCACGGGTACCGTGGCTAAGGGTTAGTATACTACTCCTAGGTTGGATTCGTCATTGTCATTGTGTTGGTATACGTCATTCCTAAAAGTTGGAGATCCTTGCGAGAATTGGGTGTGTGAGTGTAGGCCAGGATATAATCAATGTATCAATTCATGCAATGTCATACATCATGCCTGAGATACAAGTACAAATTCCTAGATATGAGCTGTGGTTGATTTACATTATGGGTAATGTTACAAATGGTGGATTGTAGTTCAATGTTAAAATTGTTTATTTCTTGGAAATTGATTTATCTCTTCATTTAATTATTGTTATTGTGTAAAATGGAGATCTATTGAAATGTCTCTGTTTTATTTCAAATGTTATATATGATATTTGTGAAATGAGACCGGTTGTTTTTATATGTTTTCTAAACCTTGTTCAAGTTTGGAGGGATGTTACTACAGAGCTTAGTGTTCACCCCTTACAATATTATTCATTTTCAGATGTCGGTTTAGATGAAGAGCTCGGAGTTGACGAGCAGGTGGCTTGGGAAACACAATTGGAGGAAAGCATAGATCCCGAGGGGGATGCCTAGAGTTGATCTCTTCATGTTTTAGATTAGGGGATATATTTTGGTACACTAATAGATGTATTTTGTTTATTCTGCTGCAAGATTAAACTTGATTCTTTTGAGATGTAATTGTCATAGTTTGATATATTATTTTGGGATGTAGATGCCATAGTTCGGCATATTCTTTTGGATAACGTTGTAGATATTATGAATGATGAATGAAATTATCTTAATTATGGATATTATTAGTTGCTCTCGTGTTGTGAATGATTTTTAAATTGTAATGCCATCCAAGGTAAATTTTGGGGTGTTACAGCTTCCTTTCAATACGAAGCTTTGGGAAAGGACATAACTTCTTTGAAACTTTGAGGATCACTTTCTAATAGCTAAGTTAGAAAATTAGGATCAAATGACTTCGAAGTCTTTATCCTCTTACTACATCTAGGTTCATCTTCAATGAACTCCTCATTTTGACAATTACTAGTTATAGCCTCAATTGGTCTCTTTAGTGAGATTGATTCGTGTGACATATTAAATGAAAAATTATTTTCAAAGAATGACACATTCTTTGACTCAATAATTGTATTAATATGCACATAAGGAATATCGAGTTTATGAACAAGAAATCGATATGTACTATTGTTATGGGCATAACCAATGAATACAAAATCAATGTTTTTAGTCCTATCTTAATTTTTTTACATTTAGGAATTGCCACTTTTGCTAGACACCACCACACTTTTAAAAATTTATTAGAAGGTCTTCGACCTTTCCATAATTCATATGGTGTCTTATTAGTTTTCTTATGAGATAACTTATTAAGAATATAATTAGCAGATAATAAGATGTCCCCACAACAAGTTTTGAGGTGCTCCTGAACTTGATAACATATCACAAATCATTTTTTTCATTGTTTGACTTTTGTGTTCAACTATATCATTTGATTGAGGTGAATAGAGGACAGTCGTTTGGTTAATGATTTAATGTGTTGCACAAAACTCACTGAGAGGAGATTTATATTCACGACCCTTATCATTTCTTAGTGCCTTTATTTTTCTATTAAGTTGATTCTTAATTTATTCTTATAATACTTGAATATATCAATAACCTCATCTTTACTTCTAATTTAGTAAATATAAAAGTATCTTCTACGAGCATTGTATCATTTATGTTTTGAACAACAAATTCTCAAAAGAGACTCCATGCACAATAGGGTATTTAATTTCCAACCTTTATATTCTGGAAAACTACTTCAAATGCCCTATTCCTTCGTTACATCAAATCAAGGGTCTTCAACATCTGGATCTTTCCCATAACAACTTATCAGGTCCAATTCCATAGTATTTTGAAAATTTATCCTCAATAAATCTCATTCAGCAATCTTGATGCAATCACAGATATAGAATATGAGTATGATATAATACTAATAGAGTCATGACAAAACCTAAAAAAAATAAAATATGGATACAACCGGAATACGTTGATAATAAAACTTATTATATGTTTTACCATTATTGAACAACTTAAAAATTACAATTTTTAGTAATTCTTTAACAATAGTAAACAAACTTTGTAATTTTTACATGAAAAAATGTGTAATATTGTCTTATTATATCCATAGGGTGAACGTGATCAATTAAAGGAAATAGAACCAACATTTAACTAGTTAGTTTGATTATAAGTGTAATTAATTCATTATTTTATACCCTTTTAACATGTTATAGTAGATAATACTTAAAAAAGACACGCGTTTTTAAAGTCAAATCAATTTTTGCTGATATTTTGTATTATATGTAAACTCAAAAGAAGAGGTTATAGATTGAAATTAAAAATTGTACATCTTGCTCCATGTGGAGAAATATCCACGAAGTATCAACATATTTTTATTAATTATCGGATATGTATGATGCGTATTTGATACGTATCATCGAGTATCGAATGAATATCATATTTGATTTCGTATCCGATATAGGTACATCGATCATGACGAATTATCCATACTTTATAGACATTAACCTTTGTGGAGGGATCCCAGAGCTGCACCTACAACCATGCTCTCTTTAGAAACACAAAAAACCGTACATATCTGAAGTTGATTTAGTCATTGTCATCTCCTCTATGTTTCTAGCTCTGGTAATGGTGTTTCTATCACTGCACCTGACAAGAAAACTAAGGCGAAACGTCCTTCCTTACCTTCTGTTGGACTATTTCATCCCAGAATATCTTACCAGGAACTCCTCAATGTCACTGGTGGGTTTTCGCTAGGAAAATTGACAGGCTCGGGTAGTGTTGTAGCGGTATATAGAGGAACTCTAAATCCAGAAGGAACTACTGTCCCAATTAAGGTACTTAAACTCAATCAGCGTGGAGCTTCCAAGAGTTTCATGGCCGAATGCCGAGCTCTAAGCAACATCAGACACCATAATCTTGTCAGGATCCTCCTAACTGCTTGTTTGAGCACTTATTTTGAGCAAAATGATTTTAAAGCTCTGGTATTTGAGTTTATGCCAAATGGAAGCTTTGAAAACTGGTTGCATCTCGAAGACGGTCAAATACAGACGAGAATTTTGAACCTTCTCTGGAGAATAAACATTACGCTAAATGTGGCTTCCGCATTGCATTATCTTCATCAACAAACCGAATCACCAGTAGTTCATTGTGATATTGGTGACAATGACTTTGCTGCTCACCCAAGTGATTTTGGTTTGGCGAGGCTCCTTCCGAAATCTGGCATAGATGTTGTTTTGAGTCAATTCAGCTCTGCTGGTGTTATGGCAACCACCGGATATATACTGTCAAATTTTTTGTTTCTGAATGAGGAGCTTCATTTTGTTAGGAAAGCTGCAACAATAAGTTAGAATCAAACCACTAAAATGATAAAATCATGGGAACAACTAATTTGGCGGGTTTAATGCTATAATGTAAAAAAGTTTTATGCTAATTTTGGTGAATTGGCAAGATAAAGTGGTCTCATGTTTAGTTGATATATTGTAACAGATACCCCATCAAGCAACACACAGCAACTTCGGGGATGATGTAAGCAAACTTTTTGGTCTATACTCCCTATTTCATCCTCAAGTTAAAAAAATATCAATTTTTACTATAAGGTTTTTGGCCTCTCAAGTTAAACAACTTTGACACATTATTCAGCCACACCCTTTCTAATCTATAATATCTTTCAAAACACCTCTCTATTATTCAAAATATTATTGACACTCTTTTTAGTTTATATTTAAGCATCTCTGACACCCCTGCCTTTAACCCATCATTGTTAACAAATTTTTTTTATCAAAAATACTAAAATTGCCGCTACATAAACTCCAAATAATCTTTCGATATAAAATTCGACCCGATTAAAATTTAAGCTTATTAAAATTTGTTTCTATACATTAAAATTTGATCCGATTAAAATTCGATTTAAGCTAATTAAATTTATTTTTTTACTTTTTAAAATTTGATTTGATTTGATTTGAGCTCTACTTCAACTGTTAGCGTAGATTAAAATTCACTTTCAGTCTATTAAAATTTATATTATTTTACTTATTAAAATTCGTGTCAATTAAAATTTGATTCAAATTTATTTTTTACGCACTAAAATTGAATCGATTAAAATTTATATTTTTTTATGTATCAAAATTTGAGCTAATTAAAATTCAATTCTAGTAGATTAAAATTTGATTCTAGCCGATTAAAAAATAAATTTTAATCTGATCGAATAAAATTTTAATCGACTCAAATTTTAATACGTAAACAAATATAATTTTTAATCAACTTGAATTTTAATGAGTAAAAATGAAATTTTAATTGTCTCAAATGAAATTTTAATCGACCTAAATTTTAATATGTAAAAAAATTTAAAAAATAGAGGGGATCTCATTTAAGATATGTCTATCTAGAGGGGTGTAGATGAAGTTTTTCTTAAAGTATATAATGATTAATTTAGTAAAATTGTATTATAGTTAACATCTTTAATCTGATAGAATTGTCAAAGAAGATTCAAAAAGTAGAAAGGGTATTTTTGAAGATATAATAAACTAAAAAAAATGTAGCTAAAATTTTCCAAGACTACAATCCTCTTAAAGTCTTCGGAGTTTAAACATACCACAATAGTAAAGATTCTTCTACACCAAAACATGAAATTGAATTTCAGTAACATGGAACCATCATTTGAAGTAATTTCTTTTAGAGCAATGCTATTACGACTTAATTTGTTAACTTGATTTATTATAACTTTTGGATTGACTGTGAGTCCTATCAAACATTGAAAGTTAATGTTGATCCAATAATTTCAATGAAGCCACATCATTATGTCAACAAATTATGTCAGATTTTTAAGTCTAAATATCATTACTCTTTCTTTTAACATTGAATCACACCTAAAAAAAATCGCATCAAGGGTGTAAAAGAGTGCACAAGTAATTTCATTGAATTTTAAAAAATAAAGTAAACCATCAAAATGAACTCAAATCAAAGCAATCAATCAGTAAACAACACTGGATTTCTAAAAAGAAAAAAAATTGAACCATTTTTCATTTTTGAATTTGTTAACATCAACAAACATTTTGTTAAAGAGGAGGGGTTTAAGAGGATTAGAGTTATTGTGTCAAGGTTGTCTAACTTGAAAGGACAAAAACTTTATAGTGTAAATATACAATTTTATAACTTAAAGAGTAAACTAAGAAGTTTAGCTCAAAATTTGCTTACATCGTCAACAAAGTGACAGTCGTTTGTTTGAGGGGCATCAGTTATAATGTTTTACAGCACAACGGATGTTATTGTAATTTTAGCAACAACACGGGTGCAGTGAAAGTGCTAGAAATAATAAGGGTTGTCAGAGTAATTTACCCTTATTATTATTAATTATTTATTTATTTTTTATTATATTACTGGTCTGACTAATGACCCAATTATTGAACCAATAACTCTTTGATCTCATCCCTCTCTCGGGTTGATGTCCGACCGAATTTTAAAACTATATTATAGATGCTAGTAGTCGCCCTGCCTCATGTGATGCACGGGATTATAATTCGGGTTTTTTTTTATTTTTTTATTTTATTACTTGAAAAGTTAAATAAATAATTATATTTAAGTTTTTAGGTAATTAAATTTTTTTTTTTTGGAAATTTAAAAAAATAATATTTAGTTATTGAAGAGTTTATGGGTAGTTAACAATGACATTTGTCAACATCTGATTGTAGGGAGCCTTAAGTTTTGAATTAAAAAATTTAAAATTCTAAAAAAAAAAAAATGGAAAGTGAGATGGAAAACTTATCAAGCCATCTCCCTTCTAATTTGATTGTTTTATATATATAGATATATTAGGGGTAACCAGTACTTGAAGACATGATGCAATTCAGAAAAAATTGAACACTGAATTTGCACACGAAATAATAAAGCACCGAACTCGGGCGCATACAAATTTGAAAGCCTAAACTATATCTTTTAACACACCCACACTTTACACACATCAATATAATGATTTGCCAAACTACTTTTGCTTCATATTAATGAGAAAAATTGAAATCAATGTAAAAAATTTAAAATTTTTAACAAAGTATGTAAATATGACATTACAAAATGTATTAATTTGTCTACAAAATTTCATAACCATACCAAAACCAAGTTATATGCATGTTCAAACCCCAATGTATACCAACTATCACAACAACGTTATAGTAGATACCAACTACCACATCAACATAGAAGTATTCATATTGGCTAAACATAAAGTTCACTAATTGACCAAGAAAATCATGATAATTAAAGTCATTGCAAACCACATTGATTCTCATAAACTATACCAAACAAACTCTTTCAATCCAGTCTCACCAATCCAAACAAATTTATTTAGAGTTTTATAAACCCTACTAATTTAATTTTTACTCATTCCATTCTCTCAAATCTAACTATCATCCAATCCAACAATTGCAATAAATGAAATTACGACCATGATATCGTGCCAAAATTAAAGATTTGTTAAATTCATTACACTTTTAATCATTTAAAAACTGATCTTAAGAAAATAAAAATTAACAAATCAAACCTACTTACAAAACCCATGTTCAAATTAGTAACTCTAGCGAACGAACAAAAATACGAAAAAAGCAAAATAGCACTTCCAACTCTTTGTAGCCCATCAACATAAAAAAATAACCCCACAACCACCAAGATAACAAAAACAATGTAGCAAAATACACAAGCATAAAATTCTCTATTTAAGCACAAAAAATTTCCATAATCATAATTCCAATCAGTAATATTGTAGCAGAATCCAATACTAATTCCAATAACATAGGTAATTAAAACAATCACTCGAAAGACAACTACTATGAATTCATGGGCAAAAACCTCAAATTATTATTTCTTCCATAGGATCTACTTGGAATAGCCCCTTCAAATATCTGAGCAAACCCAAAAAACCAATCATCATTTAGCAAATAGTAGTAAAAGCTGGAGTTTAAATTGTGTGTTTGAGAGAGAGAGAGAGAAAAAGAAGTAGAAGGGGTAAAGGGGGGGGGGGGTCTCTGTGTGTGTTTGCATAGAAAGCGGAGAATTAGGTGAGGGGGTTAGCAGCAAAGGGGGGGAGAGAGAGAGTGAGAGAGAGTAGCAGAAGGGGTAAGGGGTTTGCAGAGATGACATAAGAGAAGGTTGGGTTTGGGAGTGAAGGGAAGAGAATGGAGAGGGGTTTACCTATGGTGGTGTGGTGGCACATGTATGTGATACAATATTTATGAATAACAAAAGAAATAAGAACAATAGAATGAAGGATATTTACACATTATCCATTGATGGAAGAAACGAAAGAATCCAACGATTTCATTGTATGCTACAATGATAATAGTAAGACTTAGATATTCTATTAATTCCTAGAAATCAATAAATCATGTCTTAATCATAGGTCATGTATACAAAAGTACACATGAAAAGGGAAAAGTTTCCCACTTTAGTTTCTTCTTCATTCCATTAACTCCTCAGCATCCAAACTATAGAGATAAAAAATGTGAGCACTGCATAAATACCTCCTCCTTCAATGGTAGTCAAATTACCTGACACAATTAATTATTCTGCAAAAGGATCAATATGGAAAACAATTGGTACCGGCATTTTCACTAACGTTTGGAATCAAATTAATTAAGGTAATAATTTCAAACTTAATATTTTTCACACAATACAATGTATTCCAAGTTATTCCATGCCCTCCTGTGAACATATTTAATAGTTCTTAAGGGACTTATGCTTCATGACTTCAAATGGAGGAAACCAAATTTGATAATATACAAAGAAAATCAAGAGTAAGTTGAAATATAAACATTTCCATGAAAATAGTAAAAAAATTCAATAGGGAATAAGATTATATTGGATGGGCTTGCAACGACTCTATCTATAAATATCTTTAAAAGATTTACATAGCAAACCCCAACACAAAGCCAAGAGGAATTATAAGATTAACCAACACAAAGCAATCCAGATTTTTACCCATTAATTGTCCATTATATTAAGAAACCCTCATTGCAGTAAAGGGTAACTATAATTATAACTCTTCAATGTAAACTCTAAGTACGTGCTCACTTAAAAGAACACCCAAATTCACAATTGCACATAATCATTTCAAATTTGCAAAAAAAAAAGTCATAAGGGGGCATATGAAGTAACATAGGCTTATTTATAGAAATACGGAAGGCCTTAGAATGCGAAGGCAGTCATTGCATTAAACGGGGAGAAATAGAATTTGCTAAGATATGTTCAATGAAAGAGCACAATTAAAGAGATTGAATGATTAGAGAGCCCTACCACCAAACAACTACGTCATTCACAACCAATGAGTTAGCATCGGCTATATAACACTAAGAGAGAAAAA